TACTTGAAAGGCTATCATACAGAGGAGGGACAGGATCTGTTCTCAATCATCCCAGAGTGCAGGACACGCAACAATGGGCTCAGGTTACAGGAAGCCAGATTTAGGCTGAATATCAGGAAAAAACTTCTTAACTGTTAGAGCAGTATCACAATGGAACCAGTTACCTCGGGAGGTGATGAGTGCTCCAGTGCAGGAGGTGTATTCAAGAGAAAATTGGACAGACACCTGTCAGATCTGCTTTGATTTGGATTCCTGCATTGATCTGGAGTTTAGACTCAACCATCCTATGATTCTATGATTCATTTTTGGGGAACTCCATATTCTCCTCTTCCTTTTTCATGGGGTGGGGGGAGGATCTGTGCCCACGCTTGTGATGAAGTAGGTGAGAGACAGTGGTCTTTGCCTCTGGTGCCAAAAGAGTAACAGTTCAGTCTACAGACTTGTTCTACCTTGTTCTACTCCTTAAATAAATTTGCTTATTTAAGGAATAATAGGAAGGGGAATCTTTAGCATCTGAACCAGCTGTGGTCTGCTAGGCTCTCTGTCTGGCCTGTTAAGTTTTTTTTCTTCTGTTATCTTGGTTGTCCCAGTGACAGGAGATAAGAGGCTACTTAAAAGCCTGGCAGCCTTGTACAAGGGACTGGATTTTGTCTTTCAATCCAGGAAGAAGTTGCACAGAATAGACCTACGTGCTATAGAAAACTAGTTTGCATTATTAATGCTTCTCATATAATGACCCGAGTCTCAAGCCAGCTTATCACCTGCATGGCGTTCCATGAATTTGCAAATGGTCTATTACCACCTCCATATTTGGGCAGAGGTGATGATGAGGACAAATGACAGCTCTGACTTCCACTACCGCAGCCGCATGGAAGAAAAATGGGCTGCCACACCCCAGTTCATACAGTTGATGCTGCTATAGAATCCCAGAAGTGTCATCAAACAAAGAGTAGTTCAAACACTCCAGAATGCCATCACATTCTATCTACCAGCCTAAAGTGAGGGCTTCAGTATGGTAATACTGCTTTGACAATTTCCATTGAAGATGACCATTGAAAGACTAAGTGCCATTCACAGATATGATCAGAGGTAAGTCAAAGTCAGGATATAATGAATGCTTAAAAGATTCCTCAGCATTAACAACAACAACAAAAGGGTAGAACTCAGTACTACACAGAGTTACCAATACTGTCGATCATGTTTTTTTTCCCCTCCTGAGCAAGAATAAAAAGACCAAGGCTTTTTTCACCAGCAGTGGCAGTATTAACAAAACAAAACAAAACCAAGACCACACAAAACACTTATTTTTTGTACTTGCACAAAATACAAAAGGCTAAATCCAACTCCTAGTCAAAGTAGAGCAGAGTGATTGAATCAAATACTAAATGTTGAAGCAATTATTGTGTAAATCCCATTGTTTCGATAGGTCTACTCTACTTTGGGTTACTGAATTCAGAAGTTTTTCTCTGGGAGGGGACCAGATTTTTCATTCACAAAGCTCGCTTTTATTACTTTTAAAAGGCCCCCAGATGCTTGCTCTCTCTCTCTCTCTCTCTCTCTCTCCTCTCTCACCAGTATGCCTATCTCTGTGTGTGTCTGCATGCACAAAAACTCTCGAAATCTTGCCCAGCAGGGAGATGATGTGGCTAAATTTGTGGTTATTGCCTGTGAGAACAAAATAAGCAAAGCTTTACAAAGATTAACCACTTGCTCTTTTCTGGATATACTACTGCCGTTCTAACAGATATGTCAAACATACCTTTTCAGGTTCATGTTTGTTATTGTTTAGTCGTTTAGTCGTGTCCGACTCTTCGTGACCCCATGGACCAGAGCACGCCAGGCCCTCCTGTCTTCCACTGCCTCCCAGAGTTTGTTCAAAAGGTTCGTATTTAGGATTGGTAAATGAAATATGAAAATATCAACTCACATGGACACAGTTTTCGACAGTGTCACAAAAAGAAAAACGCTGTAACCAAGACCAAAAAAAAAAAATCTTTTTATTCTAAATTTCTGTATTTACACAGAATGCCATTTTACACAGTGTTGTAAGTCTCTGTGTAAAAAAAAACATAGTCATCCAAGGTCCTTGTGCTTACATTAGTAACAAATCTTTAACAATTGAGTATATTAACAAAGAAACAAAACAGGCATAAAAGACACAGATAACATGTGCTGACTTTTCACATACATTTTAGAAACAGGATGAGGCAAAAGGAAAATGGGGCAAATTTCCTTCTCTTTCTTTTTTAAAAAGGCAAATGATCAACCATATACAATATAGGGTACTTTTTTCCTTTTGTTCTTTTATGCAAAATATGCTAAGTAGAGATGGGCCCAAATTAATTCGGGCCTGATGAAGAAATTTGTCAGCATGGAAAGCATTCACTACCCACCCACCCCGCTGGATGGGCCACTCATCTTGTGTTGCATGCTGCCAGGGTCCTGGGCAAGAGTTCAGGCTGCCTATCCCTGCCTCCCCTGGCAGCCGACCACTTGTCAACTGAATGGGCAGAATTAGTGTCCTGCCTTATTGAAGAAGAAGGACCCTAGTAGCACATGATGCAAGATGATTGATCCAGCTGGCCTGGGGTGCAGGGAGTGGACGTGTGGCAACTATTGTGTTGTGCCGACAAATTTCTTCAATGGAGCCTGAATTAATTTGGGCCCATCTCTAATGCCGAGTTTTAATCTCAAGTGTTTCAACATCAGGATTTGCAGGCACTTTAATTATCCAGTTAGGTTATGCATTAGAGATGGGTTAAAGTGTGAGTACGGAAGCCGGTCGAAGTGGGGGGTGGGGAGAGCAATCACACAGCACCTGTGGTGCTGAGGGGATGAAGTTGGCTGGTTCGGGCTGAATTGATTTGGGCCCATCTCTATTATACATATATTTGTATAAAATGTAATTTCATATTCACAATCCTTGAATGTTCAGACCTTCAAACATAAAGCCAGCTACTGCAAAGGAAAATTTCATATACCCAATAGGCACCTTTAAATGTCTCTGCTAGAGCAATCTTTTTGTACTGGTTACTTCGGAACATGAAGAAATTTTCACAATGAAACGTACCTAATTTCCCCAATTTGTTTTTTATTTATGCACTTTAATGATTGACTATTTTTGTGATACCAAGATGGAAAAATAAGAGTAACATGGAAGCACAGCACAAATTGTTCACTAGACTTTACAAATTATCTAAAAGATAATTTAAAAGCTATTTTTAAATTCAAAAATAGAATTTCATTTTAGTTTCTTCTGCATTCTCCCTCCAACAACAAGAACAAAGCAATTTGAGTGATGAAGACATATGAAGCAACTGAGTAATGACTCCTTTATATTTCACTTTTTGGATTGTGTTGACTTTGCATGAAATGCAAAACATTTTATAAAAAATAAACTTGCTATACCAAAACCAGGGAGATTTTTTCCTTCCCACTCTTCCACATGTTTTCATAGAATAAAGAGATTCTCCCCTCACTTTATCGGCTGATGTTAATTTATAAAAACAACATTCACACTAATAATATGTATATGGTGAAAGTATAAGACAAATGCCACAAAATTCCAAGAATAAATGAAACATTATAAGCAGAGATGGGATCGAATTAATTCAGTCCCCAATGACAAAATTAATGGGTGTGGCACCACAACTGCCACACATCCATCCCCCCCCGACTGGTTGGGCCACTTACCTTATGTTACGCACCACTGGGGTCCTTCTTTGGGGGCACTCCAATCCAGGCAGGTGCTTCAGCTGCCTGTCCCCGCCTCCCCCAGTAGCCGACCAGTCTTCAGCTACATGGGCAGAACTCCAGTCCTGCCTCCTTGTTGGGGACAGGCAGTTTAAGCTCCCGCCCAGACTGGAATGCTGCTGGAGAAGAAGGACCCTAGAGGTGCATAATGCAAGGTGAGTAGCCCAGCCAGCCTAGGGGGTAGAAGGAGTGGACTTCTGGCCACTGTGGTGCTGTGTCAACAAATTCATCATCGGAGCCTGAATTAATTCAGGCCCATCTCTAATGCTGAGTTTTAAACTTAAGTGTTTCAACATCAGGATTTGCAGGAACTTCAGCTATTCAGTTAGGATATACATTAGAGGTGAGCTGAAGTATGAGTTGGAAGCCAGCTGGGTGGCGGAGAGAGCAACTGTGCAGGCAAAGTTGGCTGGTTTGGGCTGAATTGATTTGGGCCCATCTCTATTATATATAGATATGCATAAAACATAATTTCATGTTCACAATACATGAACATTCAGACCTTCAAACACAAAACCAGCTGCTGCAAAGGAAAATTTCATATACCCAATACGCACCTTAAAATATCTCTGCTTGAACAATCTTTTTGTACTGGTTACTTGAAGAGGTTTTCATGGTGAAATGTATCTAATTCCCCCCATTTGTTTTTTATTTAGTGGTTACTCCTTCTTTGTGATACCAAGATGGAAAACTACAGTCACATGGAAGCACAGCGCAAATTGTTCATTAGACTTTACAAACTATCCAAAAGGCAATTTAAAAGTTATTTTTAAATTCAAAAATATAATTTCATTTCAGTTTCTTCTGCATTCTTTCTCCAACAACAAGAACAAAGCAATTTGAATGATGAAGACATATGGAGCAACTGAGTAATGACTCCTTTATATTTCACTTTTTGGATTGTGTTGACTTTGTATGAAATGCAAAATACAGTATTTTATAAAAAATAAACTTGCTATACCAATTCAGGGAGAACTTTTCCTCCTCAATGTTTCACATGATTTTATGAAATAAAGAGATTTCCCCCTCACTTTAAGGGCTGATATTAATTCATAAATA